TGCTGAGTAGGAAACCCCCCCAGGACTTGGTAACAGCGGATGGCCAGAAAATGATGGTTCCTACACCGTAGAAGCAAAGCCCGACAATGAAAGTAACCTTGAAGCCACCAACACTCTCCGCGTCGCGTTTATTGTTCTTGCGGTTTCTTCGATGATGTTCGTCTCGCCTAAGAATCCACTCTCCCACCAACAAGGGTCCAAAGAAGTAACCACCGCCAAAGTAGGCGGTTGTGAGGCCTAAAGTTTGAGCAACGGTCATGCCTGACACACCAGAGATGACGTTGTTGAGGGTGTTTAGCAGACCGTAGGAAATGCCCCACATCACAAATAGGATTGTGACCACCAGGCAGTATCGGAGTGATTCTTGAGCGTCACACTTGACCATGCTCTTGGGGCGTTTCATGTTGACGAAGCCAAAGTAAATGGTGTTTTCTCTGCTCGTTGCGATAGAGGCTCGGTTGGCAGCGCCGCCGACCCTGCCCGCCCCAGTGGCCTCATATTCGGCCAACGTCATATCTGGTGTTGTCAAGAACTCGAGTGCTGTCATATCGTTCACATCCGCGTTCGCCGCTGCGCTCATATCCCGACTGGCTCGATGTGTTACGGGGGGCTCTTGGATGTTGACTGAGCCACGGTAATTCGGACTTGTCGGTGATACAAGGCCGTCGCTGCCGGTGCGATTTCTAGGGCTGTCTAAGGCGTCTTTTTCGGTCTGCGTGCTCGATCTCGTTCCATCCGGGTCGATGATCATGGCAGGCAGAATCTTAATAATCAATGGCTTGAGAGTAGGGATACACGCGCAAGCCATTCCCACGTTAACCTCTACGGCAGACCACATAAATGACAGAGACGAGTTCCAAGCAAAGTCGGGTGTGCCGCCAAAGTGAGAACTCGGATCGCTAGACACGCCGCCGGTGGGGACCGAGCTGACGGCTTGTTGTAGGTAGTAGATTCGGACGACGTCCACAATAGTGACGAAGATACCGATAGTGAAGGTGAGTACGAGAATAATCTTTTGCCTCGGTGGCAATCGCATACCCGTGAGAACGGGGATCGGCAAGGCTAGGATAGCTAAATCGGTTACGATGTTGATGGGAGCAGAACAAATGAATTCCGTCAACAGGGGGATGCATTGTGAAGTGTCCCGCCATATTTCCCATGCGGCCTGAACCGGCCGACATTGGAAGATGTTGATGAGGGTTAATACAGCCCCTGCTAGGTTGACAATGCCCAGAGTCACCCAAGATGCAAACCGAAGCACCTTTTTCGTATTTTTGGAGAGGCGGAGGTAGAAGATCAGAATACTGGTCTTGGTCGCCATCAGGGCGGGATTCTGCAATTGTGTAAGTATTGCACCTAAGCCGGTGTCTCAGCAGAACGGCAGTACTCACATAGAGTATTGAAAAAACATATTCGCACGCTCGTAAAGAATTCCAGTGGCCCGAGGGTATATCGTCGTCGTAGCGACCCAAGCCTTTTCGTGTACCAAAACAAATGGTGAAGGACAATCCAAAGGCAATCATCCAGGCAAAGAACATAATCTTGTCGTCCCAGCTGACATTTCGGACAATCCATCGCCGGCAGAACAGACGGGCAGCAACCATGACACTCGCTAGGACGAATGTTGCGGCTGTCACGGCAAAGACTGCCGGACCGCGATCCGGGACGCTATCATCTGCGGCATCGGCAGATGACATGCTCGGCGAGAAGTGGCGACCAACCTGGGGAGCGCGAGGGAGATTCACCACCACGGAGGTTTGGCAAGGGGTGTAGGGTGGTTAACTAGACACCGATGACAACCATGCCATGACTTTGGGCTCTGACACATGGACGCAGTCGAATGAGTTGGTGTTGGCGCGCAATTCCGCTCGATATCGAAAAACCTCGGATGGATAGGGTCGGTAGTGGTGCGACTGTTCGCGGGGTGAGATCAGAAAAGCGGAGGGGTTCTAAAGCTTTGTTCTGGCGGATTCGAGGCGTTTTTGGAGAAAAAGAATTCGGGGTCGGGCGAATTCGTCAGTGCAGAGTGCAAGTCCTAATGAATCGGGCGGAACCCAAAAGGCTGGAGTAGGAAAGTTATGAGTTTGAGCGTCGGGTAGCAGTCGTCCAATCCTTCTAGCTGCAAGCTTGCGCGAATATCTTCGTAACCGGCAGTTCGAGTGGTGTGTGATGTCCGACAAAGCCGCGGCGCGTAATTGGCAGGCGAGGACGGCGCAGCGTCATACAAGCCGTTGGCGAGGTTAGCGGCAGTGTAGGCGAAGACAGCCGGCAAGGCAAACGTAACGTGGGTTGCTGGCCGTAAGCGAGGGACACAGACAGACAGGGCCAGCAGGAGAAGCTCTGAATGTGTGGCGGGGGGGAGAAGAAGGGGAGGAAAAGAGAGTCGAGATAGAAAAGTCGAGAATACGGGATGGGATAGTTGGAGCAAAGAACGACAGCTTTCGTCGAGGCGAGATAAACCGTAAGTGATGCTGGGCGCCTCCTCTGCAGGCTAATGCTTGTCTAAGGTGTGGTGTCGGTTCGGTAATGGCTGGTTGGACAGTTAACTTGTGGATGGTTTGCGTTGACGGGGCCGTCGCGTGGGCTGGTGGACTCGTGGTCCTCTTTCAGTTGTCGCGGTTGCGTTCCCACCGCCTACGGCAGCCGTTGCAGAGTTTTCCGATCGAGGACAAAGGCGAGCCGCGATGGAGATTCGTAGTTCTGGCGAAAAGATACTTTGGTAGGTACTATGGGGTCCCTTGGTACAATGGAGCATCTGAGTGGGTGACGATGCGGATTGATGGAGACCAGAGGCAGGGCGGTCGTGGCGGGCTGAGCTCGTGGGAGTGGTAGAGCGAGATTGGTCGTGGGCCCTTTGGAGTCTCCAGTACCGCGGGAATCCACCGTGGCGGTGACTGACAATGGTCACTGGTTGACTGACCGGACTGGTTGGACTGAAGTGATGCGGGATACCTTGGATGACAAGACGTGGAGGACAGGAGGTGGTGACAACCTTCCCGTAGGCTCTGACCGTCTGGATTTGAATTAGGTTCAAAACTACCCGTTGTGTGGTGTGTACTAGCAGGTATGGTTTGATAGGCAAAAGGCAATAATGTGCGTATCGGGTCGGGTCGGTGGTCGATGGACGACGTGAGGGAAGTTGAAAGAGGCGGGAAAATCAAACGGTATGTTGCGGCGGTGGAGCTTCCGCAGGTTCGGCGGTGCGCATTGATGTGTTGGAAGTTTGGAATTCCTGTCAGTCACTCCGTACTGCGTACGTCTGGAAGTACTGCGTAGACTCAGCCGGTCTTTTCTCTTTTTTCCTTCTGCGAACCTTTTGCGAGGGCGGGAGGCAGAAGAGGAGGAGAGACGGAGGAAGCGTTGGGTTCGTGCCAGTCCGTTCAGTGTCAGGTAAGCAGACCTCGGGCGATACTTGGCAGCTGCTTGCTTGGAGTTGCGAGAAGAAAGTATCCACGGCGTATGGAGTACTTTTGGTACATAGGATAAGTAGGTACTTGGCAAAATAATGGAATGCGGCGGGCTTGCAGTAGCGTAGACACTACCCTAGGCCCTCCGTGGCCGGTACGGACTGGCGCAATAATGGGCGGTGGGCGATGACATAGAAACGTCGATCCTCGGCGCCCTGCAAGCCAATCAGCCATTTGGTCATAGCGGGTTTACCCCGGATTCTGGACCTTTTCGGGCCAAGTTGGGCGAGGATTCAATGGATTCCTCCCACCCGGACCCAGGCACACCCAGGATGAGAGATTGTGAGACGAGGAAAAGCTTCTTAGCCTCCTCCATCGCTCTGCTCCATGATCCATCTGCAAGGATACCAAAGGTTGCAGGGACTGTATGTACTGCGAGGAGGGGGAAAAAGGAAAGAGAGCACCTCAAGAGAGTGAGAGGGTAAGAGTGAGCATTGGGCGGCAAGTGGCTTGGGAAAAGGCGGGTTTCCACTTTGTAACGTACCTTATCCGTAAGAAACCTTGGAACGTAAATTGTAAAAGTTATCGCAACATCTGCACTCCATAGTATGGTAGGTACATACTCTACCCAATACCCCATCCGTCAGGCAAGCCGCAAGGTGATGGTACCCGGAGCCGAGAGGGAAGGGAGGGACTCAGGGAGACCTTGAGAATTGGCAACCTTGAAAACGAAAGAAACCAGTCATCCGCTCCACAAGATCAATCCACTCGAGAGAATTACTAAGGATGACTGCCCACAAAACCGGTTGACGACTCGCAGCCCCCCCCCCCCCCCCCTCCTTTCCCCTCAGTGGCTTCCAGTGTTGAGTGGCCTCCGTTGTGAGACTCCGTACGAGGCAGTGGAAGCCTCCCGCTTTTGGCCCATTGAGGGCGCGAGTCGGAAGTCTTGTCGTCGAGTCCTGGAAGGCAGGATCCGGCTCATTGGGAATGCCAACCTAAAATCAGTCGACGGTTTTGTCACAGTTCACCCCCCCCCCCCTCCTCCTCCTCCGAAATCCCCTGGGAGCCGATGCTGTTCCGCCCATAATACGTCTTGTCGGCTTCTCTGTCTGCCTTGGCGATATCGTGGTGCAATATCGAAGTATTCCGCGGAGAGAAAGGGAAAAAAAAAACACGCAGGTGTGGATGGCGTCCTAGTAGAGTGGAGAAACGTCACTTTGTTCCGTGTTTCTATTTGCGGCATCAGAGGACGGGACATTGAGAAAGGTAATCAGAAAATTAAAGACCAAGAAAACCCTTCGCCGAAGCAATGCCCGAAGGCCGATGAGTGCCAAGACTTTTTGTCGCCCAGGCGTTCAATGCAAAGCAAACGGCTCACTGCCAGATGCTGTGGCCTGTGGCCTGTGGCGGCAAATGCTTGGCTGATTGCGAAGTGCGGTGGACAAGCTCCTTGACTCCATAGTGCACCCGAAGTCGAATGTGGCCCCCAGCATGGCGCGATAAATGGACCGAAGGACGAGCGGGACTCGTTGGACCTTAAGCTTGCCAAAGCTGGTTGATAACCGATCTGCGGCCTGCCAATATCTGCTTCGCCTAAGCAGCGAATACGGACCCCTTTGTCGATCGGGTGGAGGGATTGGAAAAGAGGAGGTGAAGCCTGAAGCTTGAAGAGAAGCCTGGAGGAATGAGTGGGAGCCAAGGAGCCACAAGAATGCAGGAAAAGGCGCGACGCAGACACGGCATAACTGAAAATCGCGGGCCAGTAAGAAACGGTCGTTTGCAGCCGCCCGTTTGTGACTTTGGTGACAATTGGACGTATCTGAAGCACCGTACGGAGTATTGAGGCACCTACCTAGCGGGAGGCGTAGATGGCTGGAAGGAACAAAGAACGACCTCAGTTTGGGACGGAAGGAAAGACGAACGGGACGCTTGGTGGCGGTGACGGTTTTCTGGAAATTGCGGAGGAACGAACAGACATTCTGGGCAGGCACACGCCTGACTCCAGGTGTTCCTGCCGTATCAACTTGGCTCTGTCTCTCACGTGTGTTCGTTCCTTCCATTAGCACTTTGGTCTGGTGAGACGGACTTTTGCCATTTTGCCTCCTCGCTTTCGGAACCGTCAATTCACGTACACACTACATCGTGACATACATCACATCTGGCAGGGGACGTGTGGTGTCGATAAAGTTACCGACAACCCGTCACTCTACACGTCGGCCAAGGCAATCAATCGAATGCGATGTCACCTTCAGCCACGATCGGTATTTGAGCTTCCAATGAGAGTGTCCGACCTTGCTCGTCTTTGTTCTGCGCCTTCAACGGCGGCACATGACGTTGCCTCTCGCACAACCCCATGGAGGTGCCCAGCCGCCAACGCAACAATCCTCTTGTACCAAGTAGCTGACCTCCCCGAATCTCGGCAACGGTTTGTCTACATCTCCATCTCTCCACTGTTACGATGTCTACACTATCAGTGCCACTATCCTTCCGTTTCCGGATCACCCTTTGACCAAAACTAGACAATAAACCCGCCCCGTCCTTTCTTTTGGCACCTTTGGCTCTGCAATAAGCTCACGGTGGCGTCCGTGCCAGAGAACAGACAGCGCCCAAAGACCTTGCGAGCTTCTAAATCATACCTCGGCTGACCTTGCTGCAGTATCACGGCCCTTGCGTTGTACAGTCAATCCAATCATTCTCTACGGAAACGTGTCGTGTACTCACTCAATTATTGTCTGTGAAATTTGAGAGCTTCACCATGTGGCTAAGTCATATGCTTGATTCGTGAACGAATTGCTACTGGGAAGCCAGAATATACTACCAACCCCCCGGCTCGAGTCAAGAGATCGCCCTCTTTCGAAACTGAACCTCGTCAACATTATGCCCGCACCATGGAGAAACAACGTCATCCGAACCGTTGCGAAAGAACCTTCTTTTGATCTCATTGTATCAATCCCACGTCCGAGCACAACCCCCGATCCTAGACTCCACGGCGGAATGTCCACCCGATCAGCCTACCCTGGGCCAGCAGCAGTCTTGACTCTTGAAAAGTTGAGCCTCAGCAAGCAATCATCGATAACCTCATTGTGCCGTTGTGGCCACGGCCCGCACCAGATATCGGATCGTCAACTAAAGCCCACCAACTGCAACCCAGAAGTTTCAAGATGATGGCCTTGAGCAAAGTCGAACTGGGACTTTGAGGGACTTTCAGGACAGCTTTTTTTTTTTTTTTCTGATTGCTGCCCACTGGCTGCTTTGCACCTTGTGACCGCCGTTACTGCAACAAACTGGACTGATGAGAAGGCCAAGCATTTTCTCCGGGCTCTACGAGTCAGTCTCCGTGGAAGCACCCAACCTCGTACGAGTTTGACCCCTCCAAAGACTTCCGATGCCAAGAAAAACTGGCAGCTGTCCATGGAGGAAACGTAATCGGTGCGCTCACTACCGCCGGCAGGCAACCAGCTCAGTGTCTGTGCCATACGAACTCACGGTCAATGTCCGTTTCGCTGCTACTAGCCGGGTTAGAGCAGGGCGAACATACTTCCCAATGGGACCAAGAGAGCCTTTGACGGGGCGATTGAGAGTTCCCGACGATTACAAGCATACCCACACAACATATGCTACGCGCACGTTTCTACAGCAGTTGCATCCCGCAATCTACGATACTGTCTGAAACTTTTGAGCAGCTCAACCGCCTCGCTGCCTCGGTCTGCCTCGACACCAAAACAGCATACAGCACTTATTCGGTCTACCATGCGTTAAAGCTTCCTGGGAGTCTCCATGTAATCATGTTTCCTCTCGGTGCCAAAGTCGATCTTTGTTTAATTTGGCAAAAATAATCCGAGAATGACGAATATGCGCAGCGCAGGCAAACATAGTGCCTTATTTCTCATGGCGGCATGGCACATTACGATTAACACCTTACACATCCACAATAGAATAAGCTATTGCTGTGTATATCAAGCAAAGGTGATCGTGATCATCCGTCTTACATATAGGGCGGAGTCATTCGTGGGCACCATAAGGACGGACTCATCACAATCACGTATCCAGCCTATCTCAAACAGGACGTCCCTCATATGCTCTCGGACTACCCAGCCACATGTTTTACTGCCATCAAGTCTTGAGCCTCGCAACTGCATCTAGCCGACTTCATCTGACTCGTGATCGCGGCTATTCATCCCTATTCAACCAAACAAGGTTTCGGGAGCCAACCCGCAACTTACAAGCACCCAATGGGCAAGTCTGAGGTGTCAACCCCCGTGAATCGTCGAGTCAGCTTCGATGTTTTGACCTCTGTCTACCGTGTTTCGCTCGCACGCGTGTTATATGTGACTGCGAACACTGTTCGATTGAGAGAGTGGCATATTCAGAGTCAGCTTCAGCCTTACGGTAACTATCGACCTACGAAGTGTCAACTTGTGGCAGCATCGCCCACTAACTTCTCGGAACAGCCTATAGGCAGAAGCTTGTCCTGCCTGAGCTTGCGAGTCAAAGATCTTTTTGTCTTCTGGGTTGGCGGCGACGAATGTTTCTGCTATAGGAAAGTCGTGCCGCAAACAGGTTGATGCTCTGTTCGCGTCGTGTCAAGGTAGGGAGATGGCGTTTGGAATGGTTACAGTGAGCTGAGAATACGGGCACGTGGCTTCTACAAGACTGCCGGCCGCGAGACCAGGGCGGAGGTATTCACAACGACTTGGCGAAGGGGCTCTACTTTTGATATCTCAGCTTCGTGTGCTCGTGCTAGGTACATATTCTGAGGATGATGTATATGGGCACGCCGAGGGGAAGAACTACCAGTCTCTTTCTCTCTGTCTGCCGTCGCCTTCAAATAAAGTATCTTTATCAGCTGTCTGCCTTGACCAAAAGGTGCGGATCGTAACGCTGGGATCTAACATTTGCTTGGCAGCAGTTTGGCATAACCTCGCTTGCTCATTACCTGTATGATGGCAGACCTTCCTGTTTCCCGTTTCCGAGACACTGATATAGCCATTCTCGGTTACGTGTGATTGACTGTAAACAGGAGTGTGTTGAAGTTCTCGACTGTGGCTAGGCTTAAGATGTGGTACATTAGTTGCCTGTTACCGTATCTAAGTTGAAATGATGTTGGACGATTCTTCCTCGGTCTTGCATATCAAGCAAAAAAGTCTTCCAGTCCCAAGATGTTATCACTTATTACATGACAGAGTTTATTTTCCTAAATAGTTAGCAAAAGTTGTGACGTTTCATTTCGCCGAAAGCTTTGCCATCCAAGACGTCAGGAATGCTTTTAGAAAATGAGGCTGGGCTTGCTGGACAATGTGAGTAGGGCTATTTGGAATGGGAACGTGTGAGTTGGATGCCTTTTGTGAGGTTGTAGGTTCTGAATGTCAGTTATGGTGGATAAATTCAGTATATTCACGCCGTCTTTTCTGATTCTATTTAGTTTGAGACTGACTCACATAGGTCCTGCTAATCTTTGGAGGACAGGAGGTTGATGACAGTTCTCATGTGGAGCAAGCTTGGACAGAGGTGTTCATATCTCCTTCACCTGGTCCAATGCCACGTAGAATTGAGTGTGGATCTCAAGGAGATTGGCACCTTTCTTTCGTCACTAGAGAACTTGATGAATCTCATCCTCGCCACGAATAGGAGAGGCATCGGCTACCTATACCCAGACCGGGTCGAGAGCCGCAATGCCAGTCCAGCCTCCTTATAAGGCTCTGGTGAGATGTCTCTCTTGGATAAGTATATTGTAGCTAGTGAGGTCTAACGTTGTGCTGTTCATATCCCGATGAATGCTCAAGATGGACTTGCTGTTCATCGTTGTGCACTTGAAGCTGGGCCTCGGATACTTGGACTCTCGAGCCACGCCAAGGGGGTAACGCACTGTGCCACTTCAACTCGGTTTGTGCTCTTACCCGGAAGCTCATCTATTCTTCATTATCCAATTGCTAAAGCAAACCGCCCGTGTCTCTATAAGTAGGAATGGCTTCATCGTTAGGTACATGAAAGTAAGTAAGTGACCTTGACCATATTGACCACAGGAAGCCCTCAACCGCGACATACCTGACTGCTCTTGCCTTCCTTGCCGTGTTCGAGAGGCGCGCGCCGTATGAGCCTTCTTGATAGGCAAGCTTAGTGCGGCGGCTCCCTTGCTGCTGAGTCGAGGTAGATTTTGTAGGCCATCAAGTCATGGTTTAAGGCTTGACATGATCTCAGTAGGAGTCAGACTATGAATCCAACAGAAAGATGAATACAATAGCGAGAGTGGACGTACCGGTAGCTAGTGACCTCTGTACGCCACACATTTTCCAAAGCCCTGCCTCCTGATGAACTATGCTCTTCGTTCTCCAAGGACAGTGGATGAGTTGCGTGGATAGACATGAGATACGGGCAGGTATCTGGATGCAGTGCAGAAGAGTCAACGAACGTTCCAACATGTAACGCAAGGCGGCAGTCGACTTATTCACGTTGCTTAGGTATCTTTGTCGTGTGTGCTACCTAAGTTGCTGCTCTCCGAAACACTTGCTGGAATCTTTGATGTCGTACAATCAAGACATACAGAACTAGCTCAACTGGCTAACATCACATTCGCCGGAATGTGATAGGGTCTAAAACCGCTTCAGTTCTGCTCTTGAGTGTCTGACTTCTACTCTCACTCCCGGTTTTGTCAATGCAAAGCTGGAAGCCTTCATGGTACAAGTGTCACTTCTGCAACTCCAGCATACTAGACGCAGCCTAGCGGGAAGTGGTACATTAATCCCTTCATAGTACGATTGGAATTACGGGATACCGCAGCGTGACTCATTAAGCAGCAAGTACCTCTCAGTTGACTTTGCAACTAGAGGGGCCTCCAGCAACCGATCTCTACTACCTGTCCAAACTACCTTATATAACCTCATTCAACGACGAAAGTGCACAACTGAGCTACAATAAAGTCCATGCTTGGTCTCTTGTAACCAATCTTCAACGTCCTAAGGTTTAAATCAAATCCAAGCGATTGGCCCATCTAATTTGAAAAGAGCAGTGTGCCTGAGTAAGGAAAATTTTCCAGCTGCGTCTCAAGAACGCTGCGCAAATCTGCGGGGAGACCAAAGTATTCAAGTCGAGTTGTCAATAGACTCTCACTTATATGACCATGCTCCTCCATCAACTGAGCAACTCTGGGAGCTTGTTCAGTTGAGAGATGCAGAAGAGGGCGAAATTTCCCTCTTCCGGGAAACCACGGCTCTTGACTCTCCAATATGGTCGTGGTTCTCTCTTCTATAGGACCGAATCAAGGAACGACTATTGGCTATGAATCCTCCTGTCTCTTACCAGAGATACGAGAGCCATTCTGACATCGCGTATCAGCGGCATAACGTTCAAGCAGTCTTCTATAGGATCTCTAGAGTACGTCAAGCTGTCAAGTCTCGGACAATTTACTGGAATTTTGAACCAGGGCCTAGAACACTCTAGGTACGGTCACCAACTATAGTATCTGCCACACCAAGCAACGAACTCTCAACCAATTAGTGCTATCACATCACGACAGACACCTCGTCGCCACCTATTCTCCCAATCAACCTCACCCAAATCCATATTATTCCCCTTCCGACTGTAGCTTCCCCCCGCAAACCCCACAATGTAGCATCACGTCGTACAACCTTCAATCCCGGGCATTCCAAAGGATGAACAACCTCCGGAACCAACATCCTCAAGCCCTTCTCAGTAAAAGGGGTCGCCTTACCCATCATGCGCGAGGCGCGCTGCCGATCATGCGGGTGATACCTCCCGCCCAACCTCCGAAGGTTACTCAACCCACGGAAAACCAACATTAACCACACTACGACCACCAGCCGTCAGCGATGTGCTTTTCCACCCTTCCGATTCCATATTTCTTCGGTACGCTGGCTGGCCCTCGCTAAGCAACACACCTGCGACCTTGATGCTTCATCCTATCGATCCTTCTATAAGACGATCATCATATCAAAGCACCCTTCAAATGCCTCCTCACCCTCTCAGCTGAACAAACATCCCAGTCACGAGCGCTAAACCCAACAGAGAACGAAGCCGTCTTAGAACCATTGTTTCTTCTTCTATTTCTCTTCCCCGCATTATTATCTTGCAGCTTTCCCCCTCGTTCTCGCTTTAGCACGAATACTACCTCGCCTGGCCCAACGGCACCTCTTGCTGACCTCACCTGAGAAGCCCCAGATCCCTGATCACTGCCAATCCCACCTCGTTCTCAAATGTAGGTACGGAGTATCCGCACTCCCGGCCACGTCCGGGTGGTCCTTAACCCCAGCCTCAATACCACCTCATTACCAAACCCCATAACATCCATAAGAAAGCCGTGGTATATCCCCCCCTTCCCTTCTCCGCTCTCGTCACCGCCGCCGCCGCCGCCGCTGTCGCTTCTTCCCTTCCTTCCACTTTGAGGGCCTCAGATGCGACGGCCCGGTGCTCCGTGACCAGAAGAGAAAGACAGACAGAAAATCACACAGAAGGGCCCCAATTATGTCTCATTCGTTGTGCTAATTTGCCCTGCCATCCCCTCCCTTCCATCCAACTCAATCGAGGAGCCATGTAACCACGGAGCCGCATGCACCGTCCTTACACACCCTCTTCTTCCCCAACGCAAAAAGGGAAAGGGAAAAGGGAAAGAAGAAACCCTGATCTGCAAATGAAGGCGCAGACTGTGCCATTCATCCTTCTTTCTCTCGAAACACGTTCCGTCCCGCCTGCCAAATACCGAGGCTGGCTTGGGCTTGGCTGTGGCTTGTCTACAACAAGGCAACAAGCATCGAAAGCTCTCGCCGATCTGACCCGTTACACAAGAGTACATCCTCTCACCTAGCACTGACGGCACGAGACCACACCTCCTCGCCTTCCCCTCAATTTCCCCTCATTCCTTTTCGTTCTTCCCCGCCATGCGCCACATTTACTGGGAAGGATGGGGTTAGCGACGCACCTCGGTGTTTGGTGACCGAGGCTCAACTAGAATCTATACCACGCGGCACAGCCCTTTCCCCGGACTAGCCCCAAGATCCCAAGCCTTAGTTTCTCAGATCAGGGACAGGACCGTTGCTTCCTGTGCAGTGAACAACTGCCAAGATACAAGCAACAGTCAGCATGTCTTTCTGTAGATACTGCTTCTCAAGTGAGCGAAGGTAGCTAGTCACGCATAATCCCTTGGCGATGTTCATCTCCATGCGTGAACCAACATCCGTAATCTTGGCAACGTAGATGCCGTAGAAAAGATATCTCGGGGAATAGTGCCATACTTGCGGTAACGGTGGTTCGGGAACTCAGGTGTCCGATCGGATCATACCGATGCGTTCAAACGGCGTAGAACGGCGCCATGTCGGTATTTGATTCCTCAGGGTGTACGGCAAATAAATGATGTCAAACGTTGGATAGTCCATGTCGGAAGTTGTGATAATTTTGATAAATTTTCTTTGAATTGTTTTGTGACAAGCTCTGATAAGCGTATACTTGGACGAGTCTCGAACTCTAAAAGGCTCAAAACGCCTAAGCGGGCCACAACAGGGCCTTTGAGTTGCCAACAAGAATGGCAAACCCTCTCCTCCTCTTAGAAACAGCAGACTCTCTCTTTCAGTAGAGAAACTCTTAGCCAGAAAGGCATCGGACTCTGCGTGCCTATTATTCATCTTACACGTCCCCCAAGTAAACAACTGATCCAAACTCCCACGCATGCTAGATCATTCCTTCGTCAAGAGCTCCCCCAGAAGTGCCGTTTCCATCCTCATGAGCCTTTTGTTTTTTGTTTCCAAATCTCTAAAATGATGACCTTTGCCCCTGAATGTTGACCCCAATGTCCAAAAGAAAATTCGCGTTCAAATGAGGAGATATCGTAGTGCGGGACGAATGACCGCGGCCATTGACTGAGAAGTCGGAACCACATGAAACCATTGAATCGTACAAAATCCTAGTGCGACGCTCCAGTACCACCGAAAAAGAAGTCAAGCTCGCTGCCTGGGCCCCGAGCGAATTGGTGCTCATTCTCCGCAAGTTGCTCCAGGAGGCTCAAGAATGGGTCCTTCTCCTCACCTGGGCCGGTGCCAGTGCTTCCGTTGTTGCTCTTGTTTCCAGGACTGGGCGCGGCGACACCGGATACCTTGTTTCCACCTTCGTCCCCATGCCACGCGGCTGGACTACCAAATGCGTTTGTAGGCAGCCCACCGAACATGGGGTCATTGTAGTTGCCCCCTACCTCATTGTTTCCACTTGCCCCCGGTGTGGCAAAGCTGAACTGTGGAGAGAAGGAGTTTGAAGAGAGCGACGGCATGGTGGCTTGCTGGTGGCTCTGAGGTCCAAGAGAAAAGCCTGCCGCCGCCGCTGCCGCCACGGCCGCGTTGTTGGCCGCAGTTTCGTCGTATTGTCCGTGTGAGGCAGACATTGGAGGGTGCTCCATGGTCTCGGGATGAGGAGGCAGAGATGTGGGCGTCGCCAGCATTCCCGGTGACGGATGAGATGCCATAGTGGGGGTTGGGTGTGAAAAGGAGTGGCGGACATGAGAAGGCGTTGGCAGACCATGAGGGCGCGCCATATGACTCGTGCTGAGCGGTGAGAGGACTTTGGCATCTGGACGCTTCCGTCCAGATGGGGCTGTGTTCTTGCGCTTGAGGCTCGGTCGCTCAGGCTCGTTTATGCTATTGGCACGAGGCGCGTAAAGATCGTGACCCGTGTAGGTGTCTGTGGTGAAGTCGACAATCACATCAGAAAGGCTCAAATTTGCCGCGTCAAAGTTGAAGGTCTGGCCGCCGGGCCCGCCAATATTCGAGTAGCGATCGAAAAAGTCCTCGAGGTGGAATGCCGGAGAATATCGCATCGGATTGTTTGCAAGGCTTTTGACAAGTTCGGAATGGGCATTGTAAATTCCTTGCAGTGTTTCCCTCTGATGCTGGACACTTGCCCAAGCGTACCGGAGCTCGCTCAGTTGCTGCATCTCCCTGGACAGAAAGTCTGCTGACATGCTGAACACAGTCGAGTCACCATTGCCATTCTTGTTGTAGTGAGCGCCGTGGATGTGAACTGTGCCAGCGGTGCATATGCAATAGCCAACGAAAGCCGGCCATTCGATTGTGCCGGTCTGCTTTCCAAGTTCGACAAGTTCAGATATTGCGTTCGCGTGCAGAAAACACATGTTTGTTGCTTCAATCTGCCAAGATTGGTGCTGACCGGTTCCTGCGAGCTCGGCGAGGTCGATGGGGAGAAACGGCCTGTAGATGAGGCAGTGAATGAGGTGATAGATGAGCTTGCTTAGAACCAGAATCGTCGAATCGGGTTGACCGAACAGCGTGTCGAGGCTTGAGAAAACGTCTTCGGTGCCGGAAGCCCAAATGTCCAAATCTTGACGAATCTTTGACAGATTTGAAAGTGAGTGCCACGGAAAATGAGAGTCACCCTTGACACCTCCAGCAGCCAGGTAGCGATTTGTTATACCAAGAATCCGGCTGATGTCGATGAGCATCCCCGTGCTACCTTGAGACTTCTTCCCGCTTCCCTGAAGAAACTGCAAATTGGACCCAGACTGAAAAAATTCGCCGTCGATCGGGGGTACCGAAGGGTTTGGTGACCAACACGGAAGCCGGAGAAGGATGGTCTTGTCGCCGATGAGAGATGGACGCTTGGAGCCGCAAGCCAGGAAACGATCGAGCAAGTAACAAGTCCAGAAAAGTCTCCTCCTCATTTCTCGTTCGACTGGCGTTACGCGTGCATTATTGTCCATCTCGCGATGAGTTTCGAGAGCCATTGCCATTCCAACTGCATTTGCTGGACATCATGTTAGCATTTCAATATATAGTGTGGCACCTAATTCCCTTAACTTACTCATCAGCATATACGCCTTCTTGCCTTTCCCTGCTGCGGTGAAGGCAATGACCAGCAGGAGTAGAGCCTGCAGCGCGTCAACCGAAGGCTCATCGGTATCGATCTCTGCTCTGGCACGCGAAGCGAAGTCTTCACTCAGATGTACAGCTGACTGGTATCCACTAGGATGTGGTGTGTATCTATTGATCCGGTCAGCAACTTCAGTGAGCTGGCGATGCTCACACCCACCTTGCAGCAACGGCGTAGATCCCGTGAACTAAGTAATTCGGTAGTTGGTTTAGCTGAAGTCGTTGCCGGACAGATGATTCGTCTAAGATGTGATAGGGCTTGGAGTGAAACCGCGAGAAGTAGGTGTCTAGCAACGCGTCGGGTTGGACGGTAGGTGGCGAAGGCTCACTGGCAAAGTCAGTCAATCTATTCACCAGAAATTCCTGCTCAAGCATCATGGCCTACCTTGCCGGGGCTGGCGAGTAAACGGCAGACTCGTCAGCGTCTACTTTGGTGTCCAATGCTATACGCTTGGGATTTGGGTCATCGTCGGGAATGTCGTCTGCTCGTGAGGTTTCTTCATCCTTGATTCCGGCGGTAGTCGGCGTGGTCGGGGTCTGCTCTCCAGCATTCTTCTCTTTTAATTTTGCCTCCAGCCCATCGACCCTCTTCAACAGTGCTTCCAACACATCCGTCTTTGGCCCACGCTTTTTGGGTACGGCATCTAAAAGCAAGCGTAAAACACATCAGCCTCCTAAAACCTTCCCCAGTTTCATCTTCTTATCTATAAGCATGTAAAAGATTGGCTCACCGTATACGCAAGGGCACTGGAAAACTTGACAGGCCTCACAGGATGGGCGTAGCCGGTTGCACTTGATCTATTGGTTATGTTGAGTTAGATAATGGCTCTATGGTCTTGGGAAAGACTTTGCTCTGGGCGAGGCTGAGAGGCCATCATGCTGTCTCACCTTGCGCTTGCGGCATGATTTGCAGTTCA